GTGCTTTTGTTCCATTTTAGACGATGTTTTTGTTTATTTTAGACGGTGTTTTGCTCCATTTTAGACGATGTTTTTGTTCCATTTTAGACGATGTTTTTGTTCCGCTTTAGACTTTTTTTTTTAATGCATTCGTCTCCTTGACGGTGTTTTTCTTCTTGTAAATTAATTTCCGTGATGTTTGGGGTGACTGGTGTTTGGTTGTTTTACTTCAGCCTCTCTTAACAATTCATTAATGTCTCCCCCTCATAAAAAACGGTGTTTTATGCAAGCAGGAAACTGACCATCGCTGTTTTTTTTTTTTTTTTTTGAGGGTCAAGGTGTTTGTGGTCGTGAATCACAGATTTAAATTATTGAATTTTTTTTTTTTACTGTTTTAATAATGAGTGGTCGTTGTTTGTTGCTTGTTTGTCCTTATCTGGTCTTTGTCTCTACTTGTTTGTCCTTGTTTATGCTTCTCTGTCCTTGTTTTTCTTTGTCCTTATTTGGTCATCTTACTCACTTTCTCTTTTAACGCATCTGATTTATTATTATTATTATTATTATTATTATTATTATTATTATCATCATCATCATCATATTTAAGAGAGAGCGCTAAACCCGTATAAACTTTATAGCGCCTGGGGAATGAGCGGTAACATGAAGCGCTCCCAGTAAGGGGAGGAGAGCTCCAGTTCCTTGCATCAAGAGCCCTCCCCCCTCGGTGAAGGGAGGGAAAGCTCCTGTGAGGTGGGTTTCCAGTCCTCTTTATTACTCCTGCCATAGGAGCGTCTGTATTGCCGCTGTGGTTATTACTGACGTGGCCTGGAGGACTCGCTTCCTGCTTTGGCAATAGAGTTGTTATTTCTTTATTGTTTGTTGATTGTTATTTTTTTTATTTTGGAAACATTGGTGGTTTAATTACCCGCTTACTGCCCTTACCCGCACGCACTCACGCACACACACACACACACACACACACACACCACACACACACACACACACACACACACAGTAGCAACCGGTGAAGAGGCGGGGCCAGGAGCTAAGACTCTACCCCTGCAACCACAAATAGGTGAGTACAAATAGGTGAGTACACACACACACACACACACAAACCTTAGAACAGCGTTCCGATACCTTAATAAGGAATCGTTCAAGACACTGTACACCGTGTATGTCAGGCCCATACTGGAGTATGCAGCACCTGTTTGGAACCCGCACTTGATAAAGCACGTCAAGAAACTAGAGAAAGTGCAAAGGTTTGCGACAAGGTTAGTTCCAGAGCTAAGGGGAATGTCTTATGAAGAAAGGTTAAGGGAAATCGGCCTGACGACACTAGAGGACAGGAGCGTCAGGGGAGACATGATAACGACATATAAAATATTGCGCGGAATAGACAAGTTGGACAAAGACTGGATGTTCCAGGGAGGGGACACAGAAACAAGAGGTCACAATTGGAAGTTGAAGACACAGATGAGTCAGAGAGATATTAGGAAGTATTTCTTCAGTCATAGAGTTGTCAGGCAGTGGAATAGCCTAGAAAGTGACGTAGTGGAGGCAGGAACCATACATAGTTTTAAGACGAGGTATGATAAAGCTCATGGAGCGGGGAGAGAGAGGACCCAGTAGCAACCGGTGAAGAGGCGGGGCCAGGAGCTAGGACTCGACCCCTGCAACCACAAATAGGTGAGCACACACACACACACACACAAGCGTAGGTAAGACTGTAACAGACTCCCAAGAGAATTTACCTATTTGTTCAGTACAAATAGGTAAATTGTCTGTTTAGCGTTAAGTAGACAGAGGTTCGAGTCTCCAGCATTACAAAGGTGATGGTATAAGCCAGCTGTGACATAGGCGGAGCACACAAAGGTTAATTTCTTACCCCAACGATAAAAAAAGAGACTTTGGGAGTCATGCAGGAAAGACCAGTAAAGAGAGAGAGAGAGAGAGAGGAGAGAGAGAGAGAGAGAGAGGAGAGAGAGAGAGAGAGAGAGAGAGAGAGGAGAGAGAGAGAGTGAGAGAGAGAGAGAGAGAGAGAGGAGAGAGAGAGAGAGAGAGGAGAGAGAGAGAGAGAGAGAGAGAGAGAGAGAGAGAGAACGTGAGAGGGGAGAGAGAGAGAGAGAGAGAGAGGAGAGAGAGAGAGAGAGAGAGAGAGAGAGAATCAAGGTATGTAAGTAGCAGCAGAGGTGGTGTTAGGAGCACCATGTACTGCCTGCTGCTACCTACCTTCCTTCATGACGAGGCTACACTGTTGCAACTTTCACCTGTACAACGTCAACCAGTAGTTACAACTACACTTGTTCTTTATCATACCTCTCACTTCTCTCTCTCTCTCTCTCTCTCTCTCTCTCTCTCTCTCTCTCTCTCTCTCTCTCTCTCTCTCTCTCTCTCTCTCTCTCTCTCTCTCTCTCTCTCTCTCTCTAGTGTTATCTTACGATCCTCCAATCACTGGATAATTTATCAGAGATTTGTTGAAGAATTGTCTTCTTGGTTTGCTTAGTGCTTCGGCTCCTTCACTTGGCATTCATAGTTATTATTATTATTGTTATTATTATTATTATTATTATTATTATTATTATTATTATTATTATTATTATTATTATTATTATTATTATTATATTCACGAGTAATAACTACGCTGGTGCTTCGTCCGTCATAATTTCTTTGGTGTGTCAAAGTTTAGGTGCTTCTGTATTCCCTAGTGTGTGTGTGTGTGTGTGTGTGTGTGTGTGTGTGTGTACTCACCTAATTGTACTCACCTAATTGTGGTTGCAGGGGTCGAGACTCAGCTCCTGGCCCCGCCTCTTCACTGATCGCTACTGGGTCCTCTCTTTCTCTGCTTCCTGAGCTTTGTCATACCTCTTCTTAAAACTATGTATGGTTCCTGCCTCCACTACTTCACTTGCTAGGCTATTCCACTTGCTGACAACTCTATGACTGAAGAAATACTTCCTAACGTTGAAATCCCCCATAACCAGCAACTTTGCTCTGTTGGAATGAGCTCTTCTTGCCACCTCGGCAAGTGTGTCCACCATTGCTCTGTTGCTCTCTTCATATTCCTCTCTTGGCCTCCTGCAGTTCTGTGGTGGGTTATACATCACTGCAATGACCACTTTGTGTTCCCCAGACTGAAGTGTACTTGCTATGTAGTCTCTTTCTCCCGTCTCATCTATGCCTTCCATTTTCTCGAATTTCCATCTGTTTTTTACGAGCAGAGCAACCCCACCTCCCCCCCTGCCCCTTCTATCTTTCCTCATGATCTGGTATCCTGGTGGGAAGATTGCATCTGTTATTGTCTGTGTGAGTTTTGTTTCTGTAACTGCTATGATGTCTGGGGACTTTTCATTGATTCTTTCTTGCCATTCCTCATGTTTATTCGTTAATCCATCTGCATTTGTGTACCAAACCTTCAACTTCTGTTTTAATACTGTAACTGTGGTGTGGGGGGTGGAAACAGAGGGATCGGTGTGTGATGGTTGGTTTGGATTGTTCAGTTGCCTTGGGGGTGTCGTGGCTGGAGTCCTTCTGCAGGTGTTTCTGGGGGGTGTGCTTGTCCTTCCATTTGATCCTGGGTTATTCTGCTCTCCTTTTTCATTTCCTCCCATTTCTCCTTTCGTTTTTGAACTCTTTCATCGTCTTCGTTTCGTCCTGTGTTCTGTCTCGATCGAGGTACACACTCCGGAACTCCTGCTTGCCTCTCAGCCGTGCTTTCTCCTGCAGGATCATGGTTCGGGTTGATTCTGCCTTGAAAATTACTTTGAGAGGCCGATTCCTTTTCTTTGTGAACCACCCAATTCTCCGAAAATTTGCCACCTGGGTCATGTCCCCCTCGCCTATCACCTTCATGATATCTTCAATCGCTTTTTTCTCCTCCTGCTTTCTTTCATCGTAAGTTTTCCCTTTAGCTTCGTCTAGCCCATAGACAAACACGGATCTCTCCCTTTCCACCTCCCACTGTGACTCCCATTGTGTGTGTGTGTGTGTGTGTGTGTGTGTGTGTGTGTGTGTGTGTGTGTGTGTGTGTGTGTGTGTGTGTGTGTGTGTGTGTGCGTGTGTGTGCTGTGCCCTTACCAACACGAACACACACACACACACATACACATACTAGCTGGACCAGTAAGCCAGGATAAGGCCTCGAACAAGCGAGCTAAAGCTCCACTCATCGGGTCACCCGGTGATCGTCACCAGCCCCAAGACAGTCTTACTCATTTGTCTTCACAAATAAAACACCAATAAAAACACCAATAAAACACACTAACAAAACATCAATAAAACGCACTAATAAAACACCAATAACTATTCTTCTCTTTCAGATCCACCAGTCTATGAGTACTGAAGACTTACGTAGAGTCTTCAATGTAGAATTACACCATCAAGGTAATTATTGTTGTTATTAATTATTGTTATTATTATTATTATTTTATAATTATTGTTATTATTATTATTATTATTATTATTATTATTATTATTATTATTATTATTATTATTATCATCATCATCATCGTCATCATCGTTATTATTATTACTATTATTAATCAACAAAATTTTCAACTTCATGACGTCATTCATAAGCCTAAGAGAGGCTCATTCATGCTCATCAATATTTGAATAAACACTTTTTCACATACGTCCCTCCAAAAAAATAAAAATAAAAATGATTCACAAAAGGATAAAAATGGATTTATAATATAATTATATATATATATATATATATATATATATATATATATATATATATATATATATATATATATATATATATATATAATATAATATACATTACTTGGTTAGTTCACCAACAATGCGAGGCTTCTCAGCTTCTGACGTCCAGTTAACAGTTTGTGGTGAAGTTGTCTCAGCGGTGAAGGAACCATTGTTTGTGCTCCAGGAGCCTGACGGGCTAACTGTCTTCAAGGACGATGTTCCAATTTTCCACCTCCTTGACGGTACACGGTGTTCCAGTTTTCCTAAGCTCTGACAACCGGGCTCACTCTTCGTTCTGAAAGTACGACCTCGAGCAACGAGCAACTCTGGTGAGCTGATTGAGCTCTGCTTCTTAGAGCTTTCCTCATTCTGGCTTTAATTGGAATAATATGAATCCGATCCAGTGTCCAGAAAGAATTAATTCTATGGCGATAGAATAAAGGAAAAATAACAGAAGATGTAAGGTAGAGTGAGACGCTCCCTCGACGGGCGAAGACGAAGAAACCCAGAACTTCTCAAGCGTGCTACACTATCTGAAGTACGGAAGGAAGCACTGGCTGATTAATCATACAGAGTCCAGAAGAAATAGAGTGAACTAAAAGCATTTAACGAAACTGAAAGAAATCCACACTGTTTCTCGTATGCAAAATTCAGAGCGGAAAGCACATCCAGTATCCGGCCTAAACAAGACGGAACTTGAAGATTGAGACACTTATGCAGCATATGGGAATCTACAAGATTGATGGACTGAACACATCGACTCCAGGTTGAGGGACTGATTACCTCATTCTCCTCCTCTCTTTACGCCTTCTTTGTATTGGACTGATGAAGCCACTGTGTGGCGAAACGTTTCCTGAATAGATTCCCATATGCTGCATAAGTGTCTCAATCTTCAACTTGTCGGTTTTTCAAACCATTCATCACAAGACGGAACTTACACTTACGACAGCAAAGAAAAGAGAGGAATACTGAAGTCTCTATGTGACTTTGATTTTAGTGAACTATTCATCAGACTGAAGATCGACAATCTGAACGAATTCTTCATAACGAATCCCAAAAGCCTTTCAATATCCTTATATTTATATATATATATATATATATTATATATATATATATATATATATATATATATATATATATATATATATATATATATATATATATATATATATATATAAACTTCACTATATTTGACTTCGACGAAGCCATTAACAGCATGCCTAAACACTCTGTCCAGGCCCAGACTTATGGACCTCCATGATCATCAAGACCTGCAAGAAACTTCTATCACTTGCCTTAAATATTCTTTGGAGAGGGAATCTAGGAATGGGAGTCCTTCAGTCATTAAAAACAACGGATATAGCACCACTCCACAAAGGTGGCAGTAAAGTAATAGCAAAGAACAATGGACCAGAAGCACCGATGTAGTACATTATAAAAAAAAATATGAAAATATTTTTAAAAAGAAAGATCGCTGACCAACTGCAACTCGATGTAAAGATCTCGTCTCGTCCCACAGAAGTGATGGAGAATGGCTCTTGTTTCCCCCTGTCGTCGGTGTATCTGGAATAACTATAATAAACTGTCTTCACTTTCTCGAAAGTTTTCGGGAGATTTGAGCTCGGAAAATCAAAACACAAGCCAGTAGCTCTGTCGTTGTATCGTGTATTCACAGCAATTGCACAACCCAGGACAGCATGGGTTTAGACCAGGTCGCTCCTGCCTCTTACAACTTCTGGACCACTATTGACATAGTCTTGGATGCACTGGAAAACCAACAAAATGCAGATGTAGTGCAAACAGACCTTACGAAAGCCTTCAACAAGTGCGGTGATGGTGTGATAGTGGATCTATTGTGTGCACACATGGATATTTAATTTTATAACAAACAGAACGCAAAGAGTAATAATAAACACAATTAAATCAGAGGCTGTCAGAGAGGAAAGCTCTGTTTCACAGGATACAGTACTCGCCCCTATCCTTTTTTCTCAGGTTTATATCCAAGACAGAGGCATAATCATAGCAGAGTATCATCCTTTCCCGACGATACTGGAAATTCTGCTTGATAGTTGTCATCCATTGAGGACACAGCAAATCTCCAAGCGTTTATAAACGTGCGTTCCGGGTTGGCCGCAGGAAAACAATGTGAAGTTCTATGAGGACAAATTTCAGTACTCTGTTATGTGAAAATTAAGGAAGTTAAAGCCAGAACTTAATAGAAACCTAATTCTAACCATATAATATAGCGAAAAACTAATTTGAAGGACATTTGAGTGATAATATCAGAGGATCTCACACTCAATGGTGTCACAAACACGACTGCAAGGAAAAATGATAGGATGGATAACGAGAACCATCAAAACAAGAGATGCCATGCCAAGGGGCTTTCCAGCCCCTTTTAAGGCAGGCGAAAGTGCAGGCTCAGACAAACATCTACATTAACCTCTACTCCATGGAACGAAGGTGAAACAGATATATCTTAACTTACATGTGGAGAATCCTAGAGGGAATGACTCCAAACCTGCACCCAAAATTAACTCGCTTCTAAAAGCAAGAGCTTCTGCAGACAGTACAAAATACCCCGTCATACATAACCTGGAGTTTACCTGGAGAGAGTTCCGGGGGTCATTCCGGGGGGGATTACCAATAAACCCCTGATTGTCTTTAAAGGAAACTGGTTAAGTTTGTGCATTCAGTTCCTGACCAGCCGGGCTGTGGTTCACACTTCGGACTGAGTGCGGCCACCAGTATAAGCCTGGTTGATCAGGCCTTAATCCACCAGGAGCCCTGGTCTGGAACCGTGCCGCGGGGGCG